TGGTATGTTAATTCAAAGCCGGTTTGATTTTTGGGAATATTGAAAATATTGAAAACTGACAAATGATTTTGAAAAAGTTCCTCCTTACGAAGGTATCAGTTAGTTAATCTTGTCTTTTTATCTAACTTTTTTGCAACTCTGGTCAAATCTAACAAAAAAATTCTATCAACCGTTCCTCACATAAACCTTGAATCTCCAAAAAAAAAAAAAAATCATTTGCTCGTTCATTGAACCTTTTACAGGGACTTGATGGATTTATTGGTCACTGAACACCCGACCTGTTGCTAATGTGAACAGTTAACGATACCCTTGACAACGGGTTAGAACAAATTGTGACAGGGAAGGTGTGAAGACTTGCTGTGGATTTTCCAAGCCTCGTTTTGGGATGGGAAGTAATTGCAATTAACCGAGAACAAGATCAGAATTTTGAGTAATCTACAAACATTTAAAAATTGAGAAAAAAAAATCCTTTTCATAAACAAAAAGATTAGATAATAAAACTCCAACAAGAAGTGATTTCTCATATCTTGTGGCTGGTTCAATTTAGTGTCATTTCTGAATTCTTATTGAGGACACTTGACTTTTTTGTCCTTCTTAATTTTTTCTTGTGGCTAATTTGTTTTTGTCTTAAGATAATACGGGAGTAGTGTTATCCAAAAGATACAGTTAAATTGCAAGTTTTCCGTGTATATATGAACCAATATTCAGAGGTTAGATACACTCGAGGCGTTTTAAACTTCAAAATGTTATAATGTAAAAACAAGTAATAATAAGAGAAGCTAATTTATTTTTCTTTTAATATTTTTTGTAGCCATGTGACATTTTAGCAATTTTAGTGCAAGTGTACCGATGGATTAAATTTATACAACAGGTGGTATTACCTAAATTTGTACTTTCTTTACACTTTAAAAAGATATTCAGTTTTAAGAATAAAGTTTATATCCCACAAGATGTTTTGCTCATTTTTGTATCAGAACTCCCCAACACCAAAGAAGGAGGTAGAGTTTGTAGACATACTTTGTTTAACTCGATTCCTCGTAAAATCAAACATGCAAGTTATATATTTATTTTTACTAATATAAAAATGTTATTTTTTGCAGACCATGAATGCATTTCAAAATGAATTGACTTGATTTTTACTTCTTAGTTACAACCCCCTTCCCTTTAATTAAAAAATGAAATAAATTATTGTTTCGGAAAAATGTGTGCTAGGTTTTTGTGCTCCATATTGTAATTTGTAGATATAAAATTTGATTGATACAGGGAGTATATTTTGTTAAAAACATTCTGATAGTAAAGTAAGTTTCAAATTGACAATATATATATGTTTTTTTGTCTTCCAACAATCTATTGGCAAAATCTATTTTTATGCGTGAAAATTAGAAAAAGGCTGTGGCCTTCAACTCGACATTTAGATATACCGACGACGTATTGTCTATCAACAATAGTTATTTCCATTCTTATGTCGATACGATAAAACCCGGTGAGCTTGAGATAAAAGATACCACAGAGTCTGGCACATTTGTTTCATATTTGGATATTTTACTTTAAAAAGACGTTAATGGTAATCTAACAACCAAGCTCTATGATAAACGTGATGACTTTAACTTTTCTTTCGTCAACTACCCTTACTTATGCAGCAATATACCTTCATAACCTGTATAAGGTTATATCTCTCAATTACATCGATACGCAAGAGCATGCTCTACATATGTACAACTTCTAAAACGAGGTAAGTTATTAAAAAACAAGTTGATGAAACAAGGATATCAGCAGTCCCGTTTAAAGTCATTATTTCATAAGGTCTTTGGTCCATACAATGACCTTGTAAGCAAATAAATTTTTTTTATTGAGTCAAATGCTGACTGACGTTTTTCATAATTTATACTAATTGTAGTTCCTTATCTATACACTGAATTGACGACGGATTTTTCCGTTATTTCCCGATCATGACAAGGAACACACGGCAAGAGGTCGGCAGGGGATGCTAACTCCTCTATGGCACCTGATCCCATCTCTGATGTTTTGGAGGTCCTCTCTGCTCCTATTTTGTATTGTATTTAGGACTTTTTAGCTTGAATACTTATTTATTTTTTTTTTTAAATTTTTTAAAATTTCTTTGTGGCGTATAACATCGTTTCTGACCGAGAAAGAATTTTATAAGGAAAGATGTGGGAGTAAAACAATGTTAATGACTTCTATATAAACGATATATTTGATAATTTTTTGCCATTATTTACACACAAAATTGTCGTATGATTTTTTTCCGTTTTTCCAGATCATGACAAGGAACACACGGTGGATTCGACCGATCGGCAGGGGATGCTCACTCTTCATGGCTCCCGATCCCACCTCTAATGTTCTGGAGGTCCGTGTTTGCTCTCCTCTTGGTTTGTTTTGTTTAAATGAATTTTTTAGCTTGAACACTGTTTGTTATCTACTTATATTTCATTGATAAATATAAAAAAAGGAATGGCAATTACAAGAAAGGATATATTAAAATCTTGTAACTTGTTCAAAATTTAGATAGAAATTAACTGATGAATTTTTAATGTGCACTATTGGGTCTCCTAATATGTTTAAAGCAGTTTCGGACTTAATCCGTCGAAAAACATACATATCTCACTTTTTGTATCCCTTCATCTTAACACTATGTCGTATTTTAATTTTGTTAAACTTTTTGGACTATTTATCTCTCTCTCTTACTATCATACAGCAATCTTGAAAAAATTGAATCACACCAGATCCCCACGCAAAGTAGCATAAAGCTTCATAATTGCACTTTAGAAGATCGGAAGGAAGGTTTTATGGTTACTTTTCACTGATGATTTGTTCGCATTTGTGTGATTGGTGTCGGATTCTCCCCAATGTGCTTTTCTGAGACTTATATACTGATACTCCTCTAGGAGTTGATGGCTTTACCCAATTCTCATTTAATGGTTTATCCAAGGAAAAAAACAGTTGTTCGATCGTGTTATTAGCTTTATTTTCAAAGATTCACATACTCCCTGGTGCAAAAAAGGCCATGCTTTAAGAAATGTAGGCTACAGTAACTCGTTAAAATTCGTTTTCATTGCAATAGAAGAAAACTAGCGATATATGTCGTCTGGTTGCAAAACCATATAAAATACTTATCAGAGTCGTAAACAATGGGAAATTTCACACGCTAATTGTCTTTCCTACGTTGATAATGTATAGCCGATTATTTTTAATATTCACATTCAATATTGGGACCTTTTTGCATGCTAGTGTTAGTGTCCGCTACATGTCCACAATATTAAACACAAAACAGTTACAAAAATACATGTACATATTGATTGATATATAATAAGCAATAATATAATTATATGTTCCGTTGAAAATGTCGAATTTTGAATCAACGCAGTTCATGGGGTTGTAAAACATCAATGCGGTCTCAAACCCGTAAGACTCTTACCAGAAATAAAGGCAACATGTAAAAAATGTCTAATACAGCAGAAACTACAAATCAGGGATTAATCTGAACCATAAATTGAAATCTTCTCGGTTTTATTGCCTCCTGGGTTGTCTCAATTTGTGAATTAGGAAGAAAAGTTCCATTAAGAATAGAAAGAAACATTTCAGAATAAATGAAAAACACAATAACAAGGAGGTAATCATGATGGAAAACTGAAAAACCGCAGCATATATTGAGATTTAAGAAGTTTTAGTAGCAAAAGAATCGTGTTTGCAATTGGAAAGAGTGCAATTAATGCGCAGAAGCTGTGTGTAATATTAATTTTAAAGGTATGTTTATGTAATATGAAAGTGATTAGTTTTCTGGGTAAAAAACTTGTGTTTGGTATCAATCCTCTGCAGAGCACGAAATGAATTGGCAGTTTCAAGTATTTTATAACGTTTTTAAATATCACCTACTCATACGCTTACCAAATCTGGAGCCTAAAAGAGGCCCACTCAATACTAAATGTCTATTTATTCTGACAATTTCCAAGTGTAATGTGTAAAACAATGAATATTCTAAATATAAAATAATAAATAAAATACTAAAGTTTTAAATTTTTAAGAGAGAGAGAGAGAGAGAGATTTATCATTAGAAGTTAATAAAACTATTTATTATTTAAGGAACAGTTAATATTAATAGCTTCAGTTGACTAATTGCAAGTGATATTTGAAATGCTAAGCCATAGAGAAAAACGAAAATAATATAGATCTGTCAGAAGCAGATTTCGATATTCCATAGAATACAAATCACATAACAAAACCACAGCAACAAAATGTATTTTTATTAAATTCAGTGATACATGAAGCACTGAAAAAATTGTTTTCTGTTTTTTTTTTATATTTTCATTACAATTGTTAAGTTTGAATATACGTTATATGACAACGAAACATAAGCGCAACTTGTCTTACATATCTAAATGTATATCTATAAGATATAAGATAAAATTGATTCTTCTCTAGGTAATATTAAATAGCAATCTATGATATGATTTAATAAATTACGATAATAAATTATGAGGGGGAATGTACATGTATGCAAGCAATTAATTATGCAACAAACTGTCATATACATGTGTACAAATTATAAAATCAAATTTATGAATTGATCTGAAAAAAAAAATAGTACAGCAACAAACTTGTCAAAGCATATTTTCAGTAACATTCCTTACATGAAACAAAAATAAAAAGACAGGAAAAATAAATAAATTAAAGAGAGCCCATGGGACACATACAGATGGACAAACAGAAAGCAGACAGATGGACCCGCAAAATATGAACAGAAAGGCTCATTCCAGTCTTCAGCTCAGTCGAGGTAGGAAAATATTAAGTCGAATTTTTCCTCATAATAAGTCGCCAATGAGGAAATGTCGATCCAAAACATCACAATTGATTTACATGGCAAAGAATACGGAGCGTTATAATTTCTAAAAAAAAAAGAAAAAAAAAGAAAGAAAGAAGCAACAAAATTCTGAGAGGAGCAAACCAGAAATTAGACCATTAGATGAGTAGTGATTTAAAATTTAATCATCAAAAAAGAAAGGCAGCTGCCGACTGCTACCACCTGAGGGGTTCCTGACTGGACAGCACTTGGAGAATCTTGGACGGAAGAATTCGGCGGACGAAGCGCCACAAAATCCAGCAAATTCAAACCCGTGCCTACAGAACATCGTACAGTGACATCCTGGTAGATACCGGTCTCTACCGAAAGAATCCATTACTTCTTGAGAACCTGAATTTGCAAAATCGTGATCCATATCCCAAGACCCGCTAGATCCACCTGGGAAAAGAAGATCATCGTCTGGTTTTTCTGTTGTCGTAGGTGCCTTTGTGGTCTTGGGTGATTTTGTTAATGCATGTGTTACCGGAGTTGGAGTTGTTTTATTATTTTTCTTTGTTTTATCTTTAGTTTGCTTAACCTTTTTCTTCTTCAGTGCTTTTGATTTCTTAGATTTTGAAATTTTAACTGCAGGTTTTAGCTTTCGAACTTTCTCTTTCTTGACCTTCTTAGTAACCGATTTTACTTTCTTCACATTCTTCTGCAACGGTTTTGCCTTCATAACCGGTTTTACTACGGGATTTATAGGCTTAGAAGGTGTTACAGTTTGAAGACTTCCTTCAGGTGCCTTGAACTTGTCTGGACTGAATTTTGTTTCATACACAGGTTTCATTAAATTCATATCAGTTTTCACAATGTCTGAATTAGCTTGAGCATTGGCGATGACAATGTTCTCTGGTAACATGTTCGAGATGGGTGGAGACACCAAACCTCCTTGATCTGCCTGTATTCCCATTGTAATTTTCAACGGAGAAGTGAACCTTCTCTGGTGAATTTGCCTGGGTCTTTTATCAACATACGTTGGTTGAAGTCGTTGTCTGTTGTGAACAGAATTAAAAAAACTTGGTCCAGATGTTTCAACTCTGGAAAAAGTTGGAGTAGGCGGAATCCAATTCCTCGCAGGTAAACTTACAAAGTTTTGATGAGAATTTTTCAAGGGAGGTGTTCCTTGGAAGTTGGTGTTCATTGCAGACAAAAAGCTGAATTGTGGTTTTGAAATCTTATTTGGGGAAGCGTGGAAATGTGGGGTAGCGTGGAATGATATTTTGGGAACATGATTCCCTAATCTTCCAGTAGTTGGAAGTGAGGGATTTGAATTGTGTGCGACACCATTTAAAGGGCGCTGATCAATTTCATTTTGTCCTTTACCCTGGAATCGAAATATAGACTGTCTTTTGGCATCGACAGAAGGAGAAAGTCTCTGTCCAGGGTGTGTTTGGAATATTTCTCGTGACGAGTCAGGTCTGTTCGAGATTAAACTTTGGCTGTGGGAGAACCTGTTACGGTTATGGCCCCTGTTGTGATGAGGGTTGTACCTAAATGCAGGAACCGGATGTGGTCTGTTTTGCAATCTGAGTCGCTGAGCCACTATAGGAAAAAAACAATAACGAAAAATTATTTCATCAAAATATAAAAATTGAAATTAAATCAAATTTACAGCAAATCACAAACAGCAAAGGAGAGTAAAAAAAAACATTAATAATTTTTTTGGTTTAGAATTGAAATTACCCATCATTAGTTGTGTAAATATTAATGCACGTTGACGATGTGAAGGTCATGTTAACTAATCATAGCTTTCACAACCAGGTAGGTGACAATACACAAGTTGTTCATAGAGACCTTTTAGCCGTAGGTCATAAATTAACAAGCTTGCTGGTGTACAGCATATATTTTCTAAATTAAATTCATGCAGATAATGGAATTAAAAGAAAAAGATAAGTCAAGTATAATAACATAATATTTCTTTTTGGAAATGTCTTGGACTCTGTGGTTTCTATCTGTTGACATTTATTAGTCTCTGTTGACAGTTAACACCAATATTAATTAGTGACCATCTGGGAAATCAAAGGCCGACAGTGATTAGCTGTATAAATAATGGCCGTCTGTCATGTAAACATGTCTTATCATAGCTAATCTCGTGTAGTACTATAATCACAGATAATTTGTACCGAGGAATTGTGTATTGCGAAGAAATGTTTACACAAATCAAAAGTAATGAAGCTTCTTCGGGGTTTATGTCCCTAGATAGACAATACCCATAGTTACAAGAAAGTAATGACAAATCTTAATTTCTCTATTCATGTCAAGATTGAAATAGTGAAAAAAGAATATTTAGATAAGAATTTAGTCTTTGTTTTAATGTTGGTAATACTTACATATTACGAACTAAGAAATAAGCTTAAAAAATTAACTAAATCAGGCTTCAGGATCATGAAACATCTTAAGCTTAAATCAAACTCTCCAGGTTGTATCAAAATGTTGTAGAGCCTAAAAATTTTTTATCAGGCTTCGGGATCATGAAACATCTTAAGCTTAAGTTAAAATCTCTATGTTGTATTAAAATGTTGTAGAATTCAAACAGTTCAAAAATGTATTCAAAAAAGTATTCTAAAAGACAAAACCATCGTTAACTGCAAATCAAGAGATAAATTCAATGATTAATAAACAATTAACAGACAATTGAAAAATTGAATGAAGTCTAAGTATCTTTCATGATCCTGGGGTCAGTTTATTAACTAACTTGTACTAAAATCTGTAAGATAAATATCTAAATTTGAAAAAAAAAACCTGGTTCAAGAGGGAATATGAATCCCAAGATTACATGAAACGGTTTTCTGATCACGAAGAGTGAAATTCCTAAGATATCATAAAAATTTGGTTGGAAATCTTTTTTTATTGACGTGTTCCCTTTATTTCCTTGGAAACATATGAAAATTCATTAAATTTTGTAAAAGAAATGTAAAACAATTTGTATGAGCATAGAAACTTCTTACCTTAAAACATATTTACAACGGAATTTCTTTACCAAATCCCCGTATTTTTTTCCCATTATCCCCAAATCTTTTTTAAATATCCATATTGAAATTAAGTGCAAAATAATTTTTAACTAAATAAATCCCCTAAAATATGAAAAAAATAAATACGTAGATAATTTACAATAATAGCAAATTAAATTAGAACATAAAATATGAAAGCATTTTCAAATACCCACTTTCAAAGCATCATTTTCGGTATCATAAGTTTAAAAAAGTAAGACTCAATTATGTTCATACTTTTTACTTCTGTGAATTTTAGAAAGATCATTTTAGAACAAATTTAAGAAGATATATTCTTAAACTATCCTTGAAAAATGTCAAAGAAAAAGTTATTTGCAAGAATATTTGATAATGAATTTTATTTAAAGAAAGCTGACTAAAAGTAAATGCATTTCTGAAGAAATATATAAACATGTACATGTAAAATTAAAATTTTCTAAAATTTAACAACTTTTAATTGCTTAATACTCACCCAGAAAATTATTTGAAATTAAAAAGAAAACGGAAAATCCAAACAAAGATTTTTTTAAAATCATTATCCTAGAGGAGTGACCAGTGTGGGTTAGGGGCCCCTATTAATCTAGATTACTACTAATATTTTGTTTTTGTATGCGTTTATTAGTGTCTTGTATGCACTAAGTCAATAAACCGCAGACGTTTGTAACCAGTGAACCATAAAATAGTAGCATCCTTTAATGATCCAGTAGTAATTAACGATTATATACTACAACCTTTTGACCTCATAAATGGACCATTAAAGACTAATTACAGGAAATGCAAAGTAACGAAAAGAAATGACTTGTATACCTTTTACATTTAAAGTTCCGTATTTTCAAGCAAATGAAACCATAGTTTATTTACTTAAAAAAAAATATATACCTATTATTTGTATATATATTTTAGTTCTCCGAAAATCTCACAATCCCAAGCCCAACTAATATATATATATATATGATAAAATTTGACTACGTAAGGTTTATCCACATTATATGACAATATAGATGTACGAGTCTAATCACTTCACGTCATGCATTGTATGGCAAGCCTTTCATTTGACGTTCACGAGCTTCTTGGTTGAATGGAAAACACATTTAATGGAAGAAAAAATGTTACATAGGCATATCATTAATGTTAGATATAAAACTTTAGAATAAATATCAATCAATACATGTGAAATGCAAGAGCGAGAGAGTGTGTCATTAGCTTGGAGGAAAAATTTTCTTAAATTTCTAGCGTGAAAGGGAATTATCGTACTTTAGTATTACAATCTGTAAATAACATGAATTTTGATATTTAAAAGTGCGTCCCAGTTTTCTAAGTTGAACACTAATTCTAAAAGTGATTTTTTCAAGATGGTTCTTGCATCCCTTCAACTTAGTTCAATGTATTGAAAGTTGAACTTCGCTCTTCGACAGGTGGAAACAACTTGAAACAGACAGTTTTAAATAAGGTCAATTTAGAAATGGGAAAAAACGTTATTTTTAACCTTCTCGTTCGTATTAAAGATTAGACTTTGATTATTAAACTATTGAAGTTATAGATATTATGTATGATTTCCGTTTCCTTGCAATCTAAGTTGGTGATGCACCAAAGGCAGAAAAAAGCAGGAAGACAAGATAACACTGCTCTTTTTGACACCAACTCTAAAATTATTATTTTAAATTGACTTATCAACTCAAAGTTTTACAGAACCCAATCAAGACGATATTTTGAAATATCTTTAAAAAGAGTGAAGAAAAAAATCAAAGTCAAAATTGTTTTGGATGAATCAGCAACACTTGAAATACTGGTAGCAAAACAGAGGACACGCAATTGTATGTAATAATATTGGGAAAATTAGAAACAATGTGGAATTTTTCGGCATCAATCGTGAATTATCGCGAACAGCTGGAGTTGTGGAATAATCATTACCAGGAATTGTTCGTACCAAACACAGTGTTCTTGCTAGCAGTCCTTGCAATAGGAGTCCCGGCAAATGTATTGGTATTGTACATCTACTACAATCGTATGGGGAAATGTACAGCCGGGCGATTCTTTATTCCGATATTATCCTGCATTGAACTATTTGCTCTTGTAGTATCGTGTACTCTAGACCTAATATCAAATTTCTATTATGTACAGTTTCCAGGGAACGCAACTTGCAAGGTTCTAGAATATGGCTCATGTGTACTTTCAAATAGTGGTATATTTCTGCTTTCTGTCATCGCTATACAAAGGTATCAGAAGATTTGTCGTCCGTTTAGGCGCCAGATAAATTTATTTTGGATGCGGTGTTCTGTTGCGAGTTGCATTATTCTTTCTGCTTTAACCCATGCTCCTATCATTTTTTCCCGTGGCCTAGTCGAAGTCAATCATCCAATATATGCTAACGTAACTGGATACAAGTGTCATTTACTTCCCAACCTCTCTCAAGCAATAAAAAGAATATACCAAGGTCTTAGCTGGTTGCTTATGGTGAGCATTGTTGTAACTATAATATTTTACATCAAAGTAATGAAAAGACTTTATGAAGAACACAGACGCACTGCAATTCGAAGAAATCAAATTAACCAAACAAATAGAGAAATTACAAACGAAAAAATATCTGGAACGGTGTCAAAGAGTCCCCACTCCTACTTTAGAATAATGACAATGTTCTTTGTAACCTTGATTGTAACAGTACTGTTTAACATTCCGCCAATAGTAGCCATTAACATAGATTATAAGATACCAGAAATGTTGATGAAAGAAAATTTCCTGAACTTTTATTTTGCATTGAAGAGGATGAATACTTTACCGTACGTGATGCATCCTGTCATTTACGGAATATTTGACCAGAAAATGCGTGTAGAAATTTGTAAAATGATGAATGAATTGAGATGCAACACAGCAAATAATCACTTTGGATAATTTTTAAAAGACTTAGAATCCATGAGAGTCCATGCTGAAATTGTTAAAAAGAGAAATACTATGATACCAACACACCTTCAACTTTCATATTCTTAACAACATTTTTTTTTTACTTTTATGATATCTACAATATTCTCATTTTATTACATATTGCTGAACTTCAATTCTCCGCGAGGAATGGTTGCATAAGAGCTTTAAAAATTTTTTAAGTTTTGATTTTATTCATTTTGGTAAAAATTTCCGATTTCAATGTTTTATAAAGTTCCTTGAAGCTTCTTATTGTCCGCTATCATCATCTGAATATTTTGTTGTATAGTATACTTTAATATATTTTTACAAAAAATATCAATTCAATAGATAGCGCCGATTCTAAACTGGCATTTGGTAGCAAATTCAATGAAAATGAGTCATAGTTGCTGGTAACTCTGGAAGATGCACTAAAGTTTACCAACTATGGGTTGTATATACAATTCTGCATCACTGTAAAGCGGTGACACAGAAGGGAAGCCACCATTGAAAGGAACTGGAAATTTGACTGAAGTTATAAAAGTATAAAACCAGCAGCAAACCGGATCAGAAGTTTATTAAGAAGGCTTACATGAATATGACTTGTGTAACCTACATGTATCAAAATAATGAAAATTTGACACATTTTTTAAAAGAGAAAAATAATGGACAGGGAGGAAAAGTATATCTTGATGAAAAGAGGAAGAAGAAAGTGCTTGCAAACACATCTACGACGGGATGGGGGTAAGAATAGGAGTTATCTGTCTTGTAACAGTGTGTGGATTCTTCAATAAATGGAACT